TATACATTCTTTATTTTCTTGTACATCAGAGCTTGCTTCTTTAATATTTAAATTCGATTTTCCATGAGAAGCAGAAAATAAAGACGAATTGTCTTTAATTATACGATTTACACGAATAGATTCTAATGGTTGAGGACTTCCTTCTGTTTCTAAACTTCTACGATGTCTTGGTATATAAACTGCACGATCTGGCCTTCTTTGACGAGAAGTTCTTGATGAAATTAAATTTTTTGAATGAAATTAAATATACATTAAAATAATTTTTCTTTAGATTATGAAAAAAAAGATGCAAATATTTTTCTATTTCTTACTTTCCAATAGATGAATCTACAGTTGCTTGTGTTTGAACTTGGTCCATATTTGTTTGAAGTTCATTTCTAGCCCTCCTAACAGCTGGTGGTCTATAGATTTCAACTGTTGGCGTTGATTTCACTAAAAAATCGAATGAAGATTTCAATTAATTTTATTCTATATTTTTAGATAATAAAACTTTTGTTTTATTTTCCAATTACCTTGTCTTTGAATTCGTATCCGTTCAGGAGATGCGGAAGGTGATCGCTGACCTTCAATGCCCATCTCGAGCAACGTACTAATACTTTTTGTTGCACAATTCGATATACACTGTTCACCATCCAATTTGGGGTCCCTTAAATATTGAAAATGAAAAAATTACATTTTTGTTAACTTTATAAAATTTTTTCTCATATCAGTTAAATAGTTTTTTGACGCATTTAAATACTACGCTATGTGACCTTGAGCCGGCCAAGGTTCAAACGAAGTTTCACTTTCGTTTGTTGCTGCGTAATTCCATTCTTGTAAACCCATTTCGTAACAATATTAGACTTGTCTGTGAATTTCGCATAAATCTAATTTAATATAAGACTTGTTTTACTTTCATAGGAACCGCAATGGCAATATTAATATCAATAATATGATCGACAATATATGCAAAATATTTTAAAAACTAAAATTTTTAAATTAAAAAAAATTTTGAATTTGTACATTAATCTGATATTTTATCAATTATATAAATCATAATAATTTCGTAAAAAATTAGAAAAGGATCTATTTTTCGTAATTTAATAAATAAATTTATTAATTTTATAATTAATCATAGTTCAAATTTCAAAAATATATAATAAGAATTCCTTAATAAATTAATTAACTTATTTTACAATTAAATATTTATTCTATCTTTTTTCAAATCTCAGAATTATCATTGTTATCAATATATATACAAATTATCCACAAATTATGGATAAAGAGGATATTAATAATTGATCCGTTAAATGGGAAATAATAAAAAACAACATCATCAAGTTTATTCAACTCATAATTAAATTATGAAATTAATAGACACTCTGATACCTTATCACGTCACTCTTATAACAAACTACTGTTCGCCTAGCAGAACCCTGGCCGATTGAGAACGTGTGTAGATCAACAAAACGGTCCCGCACTAATTGATGTATGATGTATCTTCGATAGTTATTAACAGGTGGAAAGACGAGTACCCTGTAAAAGTGAAAAGAACACGTTATGATCGCAACTGAAAGTGAGACTGGACTGAGGACAGTCAACGGGTGAACGTAATCGTCTTGTCCCGGGCTACTTTGCCGTATATCCTGTCAGATGAACACATACTGGCTAACTTTTACATAACGTTTCACTTTCTCCTTCGTTGGTTTCCTTAAAATTAAAGCCTTCCTTGCGTCCGAATAATCACAAATCATTTCGATCACATTTCGTTCATATTATGATCTCGTTAACATTTTAACTACACTTCATGAAAACCAGCTATATTCGAGCAATATAAAACAGTCGGATAAAGTGGAATTTATTATAATATCGTAAGCGGATGTTTTTAGAAAGCATAAAAACTATTACAATAAACGGGCGCACACAATGCAGAAAAATAGGAAACAGGAAACGCATTTTTATCTCAGATAATAAATAAAATGATCGGATGCTAGAGAAGATAAATTTTCACCTTAACAGCATTCCATAATAGTTAAATTACATGCCAACCATTTAGATGGAACGAAGCGTGTAGTATGGTAAATTATAGTTTTCTATGATTCTTTCCTTTGTATACGTATATGAAAACCAAGAAGAAAAAGAAATTGAATACACAAATTCTAACCGTTCAAATAAAATAATCGCACTTCTTAATCTTGTGATTCGATTGTTGAATCGTCAGTTTGTATAATATTAATTACGTTTTAAAATGGAGTAAATCAAGCCTTGTACTATAAAGAAGAAATGGAGTGTTGTATATCTCGTAAGTATTGCGTGGTTCACGTAATCACGCGTATACGTGAGCGACATACGCTCAGAGACCGGTTACACTCCATAGATTAACAATTATCCGTGCAGAGGGCATTCAAAATCATTCAGCTGTTTCTCTTGCACATGATTTCAGTAATTATGCAATACGGCATATAATCATGATTTTGTTTTTATTGTTATTATTTTTAAATAATTTTTAAAATTTTTAATTTTTAAATAAAATCTTATCACTTTTTATAAATAAAAATATATTTAAATTTTGTTATCACTTATTTTCGAAATTTTACATGTTTATTAATTATTTCTAAAATAGTTAAAACTGTATATTGAAAACTGTATATTGATAAAAAAATTGCACATATTACAGTTCTTATACATTATACTATAATATATACATATTGTTTGCAGCAATTTTTAATTTTATATAATCATTTTCGTTATTTTCGTTGTAATCGATGAAAATAATACGTTCTATTAAACTTAGTGTTTCGTATAAATTTTCTTTTATTATTTAATGACGTATATACGCTAGTTCCGTCATTTATGAAGGGTTATTTAATCAATATCCGCAACTTAAAATCCCATTATCTTCTTACTATAACGTTCTGAGTAAAATATAAAGACAAAATATATATCTATAATAGAAAATCAACATAAAAAAATTTAAAAATAAGTGAAAAAAAACTAATAATATTTGTAAATGCATTTTTATTTAGACTGAATAATGATTTCTCGTTTTTTATGTTTGTTATATAGTATTATATATTATATAGTATACTAGTATCTAGCAAAAAAAGCGTAAATATGCAAAATTTGCAGGATATGCAAAGAAAGAAAAACAGATTAAGGAAATCATTTCAAAATAGCGATCAAGATTTGGAAGAAATAATATCATTTATCTTTAGATCGTAATATTTATTATATATTTTGTTCGAGAATTTAAAAAATATTAGTAAATTATTGAAAACTTTTTAGCAGATGTATCTTAAATCTTTGAAATTCTAAAATCTTAATTTTAATTATAAAGATGCAAATAAATTGAACATAATCAGATTTAACTATGTAACATTTATCAAAATTATTAAAAAAAATTATCGATTATTAAATTAATGCTATTTATGACGTATCTTATCTTATTTTTTTTTTGTAATTGACAAATGTCAACTAATTTTATAATGTATCTTTTAAACTTTTAAGATCAATAATTTCATGGAGAAAACATTATAATATACTATGATAAAAGTTTATAGAAAATGAAAGTCAAGAATAAATACTCAAAGACACATTGTAAAAAATGTAGACATCTAACCTTTAAAGGCGCGTCGTTACATCAGGAAATGTGATCGTTTGGCTTGCCTACCTTTTTCGTTTCTTGTCTTTTGAAAATAGAGTCACGTCGTGCTCCACGTCCTCGGAGAAGAGGCTATCTTGTAAGCTCATTTATCTTCGAAACTGCACGTAGTTCAGACATATGAGAAATTATTGATACTTATAATCAAATTCATCAAAATTTATTCAACAAAACCACGTTTACCGTGCTGCTGAACAGCAGCAACGGTCTCTACTCAACGCACATTGACCATAAACTACTTGAGAATACGTCGCGCATGCGTTGATTTACTTTAGCCTGTTCAGTTACTGCGCATGCATGCTACTTTAAATTGAATAGTTCACATGAAATTTTGGCCACCGATATTTTTTACGATCCTTTCTATGTGCTATATTTGAAAAATTAATGTAAATTTTAATATATTAATTTATTAATTTTATTATAGTTTTATGAAATAATATTATAATAATTTTCATAAATTTTTTTTTGCTCGTAAATATAAAATATTTTATATATTATCAATCAAAGAAGTTAAAAATTTCACACTTTCCCAGAAATATGCTATGAATCTATAATATATTGATTTCTTTTTTACGTTTTATACCAATAAGTATAATTTTTTTTTGCAATTCAAAAATATGCAGCAAAATCATTATTCAATTGATAATTTTTCATAGCATTAATTTTATTCAGTGTCTATCTTGGCGATTCTTTGACTTTTGATTCTTTTCAATATAAGTGATTATTCAACTTAGTTAAGTTTATTAAAGAAGAATTGTGATTAATTCAATGACTATTTTATTGGATTTTCAAGAAGAAAATTTACCAATCAAGTACACTTTGAAAATATCCTATTTTACACAAATATCCTATTTTATGTATAGCTAATAAGGATAACGTAATATATGGATATTTATAATCATCAGGATTTCCCAGGTAGAGGCTTAAGATAAAAATGATTATTTGAAATCCTCTAATAATGCTTTAGAAAAATCTAATTTTTAAATCTTTAATTATTGAATATAAAAAAAAAATAAAAATTCTAAATCATAAATACTTATTTTTGATAATATTCTAAATTCTAATTTTAATATTTTAATATTGTTGTATTATTTTTAGCTTAGAATTAGCAATAATTGTATAATAAAATTAATTTTACAAGTTTCACTAACGAAACGAAACTTAAATTAATTAAATTATTAATATTAATAATTTGTCATTATTTTATGTATAATTGAGTTCAAAAAATTCATTATATATTTCTCATTGTTTGAAATTCATTATATATTTCTCATTGATTGAAATATTTGAAAATATTTACAAACTTTCAATTTATTTTTTATAAAATGATATTTGGGGTTCTATTAATCAATTCAATTAATACTGTACAAAACATATTTATTTAATAATTTATGGAAATACACACATAGTGTACAACATACAAGCCCTAGCATTCATAAAATGCTGCTACATTGTAAAGTTGAATTCACTTCACTTTTTCTTCTAGAATATTTACATATAATCACGTTTTTTCGCTTTACATTTTTTTGTCGAAACAAGTTCATGTAACTACAAGCGATAAATCCCGATCGTTTCGCTCAACGCGTCGTTGTCTTTATCAAATTCATCGAGAAAATATGTTATATCTGATAAAATTTTTTTGTATCCCGGCATTGAGAGAAACTCGAGATCGAATTAGAATGTGTACAGCGCATAAACATACAAAGTTAAAGGGATCCAAATCTTTCTTAACCGGATCCAGCTTCTTTTCTTTTTTTTTTTTTCCATTTTCTTTTTTCTCTAATACAAAGCTGCGTCTACACGCAATATTATCGGAATTCTGTCAAAAATATTCTATATACAATTAGAATATGTATAAAAAGAAATTCACATCTTAAAATTACAAGAAGAAGGGCAATCTTGTTCTGTTGCTGTGCAAAAAAGCAACAAATTCTTATCTATGAGACACCAATTGGCATTTTTGTATCTTCAAACTAAAAATTTATAGAGAATTGATACAAAAATGCACAAGGTGATTATATCATAGTTATTATATTTATAACTAAATATTTAGAATTATATTTAGCGATAATATGAGCAAACAAAATTTGTTTTCTCATTATTTCACTATCGCTATGATTTCTTGGTCTACTTATATTTATGCATTATATAAATGTAGAAAGTAATTCATAATAAACATTAAAAAGATGAGTTAATGTAACTCAATGAAAGATAATACGTAAATGATTTCGAATGCTAAGGAAACAAAGAGATGATCATGTGTGTAAAATAATGGAATTGCTATCATTAAAAAATGTATTAATGACTATCGGTAATCTAATTAAATTCATTCTTTCTACTATATAATAGAAAGATATCAAGAATCTATAAAGCAACTTCTCTTTCATTTTTAAGCAAGAAATTATTTTTAAAATTTAATGTTTTTGCTATGCCAAAATGAAATAAGTACTATGACGGGCAATACACGGATAGAACAAAAAAACATTCAAAGTAGGTACAAGATTCTTTGTGATTCTTATCGCGAATCGAACATACAAATATTAATCTTAAATATCTATTCGTGGTCTATATTGTAGCCTTAAAGGTGGGTCCCGGAACCTCCATCTTGTTACATAAACGAATTTTAATGTATGGTCCTTACCTAATAGTTCATCATTACATAAAATATCAATCTACAAAAATTTAATTAATATTACTAATTATTAATACTATTAATTAATATTACTAATTAATATTACTATTAATTAATCAATCAATAATCTTAATTCCAATATAAATTTTTTACTTACATCTCGATATTTTTCCATTCCATTTAACACTTTCTTGGCAATAAATTTTTTTAAATGCGTAATAGTTGCTTGGGCAGAACATCTGATAAATCTTCGTTTCAAAGTCTTTAAACTTGTATTTATGCATTCCAAGCATACATTAACCTGTAAAAATATTAGTTTTTTAGTATTATGATCAAATCAAATCATATAATAGTGTTAATCATCTTCTTACCTGTTCATCAGTACGATGATAATCTGATTCTGCATGTGCATCTGCTGTTGCCTTTTCTTCTTCAACATCTCCAGCATTTGGTAATATATCTTTTGGGCAAGGTAAACCTCTTGCTCTATAAAATTCTCTTTCTCTTTTAATTTCATCTAAAAAAAAAAAAATTAAATCAAATATATTGTTAATTATGTATGATTTTTTTTTCATTAATAAACAAATGCTAACTTTCTTGAAGATCAGGAACTAATTTATAGACAATATCTTGCATAGTTCTGTCAAAGCTTATATATTGAAGAGGATGAGATTGATGTATGACAATTTGACATGTTGGACAGGTATGCTTTTCTTCTAAATGTTTCACTAGACAACTTTTACAAAATGTATGTAAACATTCCGTAACAGTAGTAGCATCTATCAAATAACCTTTGCATATCTTGCATGTTATGTGACTGTTCAGTGTTTTTAATTTAATTCTCCTCTCCATGGCACTGGTAATCACCATTTAATAAATATTACTATCTGCGACACCATACAAGTGCCATCAAATTCTGATGTTGTCAAATTGTTCCAAACTTGTAATTGTAACTAAAATCATATACAATAAATTACAATACTTTTATTTTGTAAAGAAGAAAAGAAAATTATACAGAATAATAAACATAATACTATTATATATAAAAGTTAGAATTATAGAAAATATAAAATTCTTATAATATATAAATCCCATAAAATTTGTCATATTGACACATAGTTTGATTTATTTAAAATTCGTTAGAGAACAAAATGAAATTCTTTAAAAAATGACCAATACAAAGAAGTAAATTCTTTGCTTCGAAAAAAGTGGGTTATCAAATTCTAACCTGAATGTCGAGTGTTAACACACAACAGCAATTTTCACTCGCATTATTCGTTAAGAAGTTTTGTATGTATGGTGCATATAATTCTTAGCATTTTTTTATCGTTGAATCGAAGTGAAATGGAGAAATACAAAATTAAACGTTTTACTAAAAACTTGATAAAAACAACTAAGTGTAAATGTGGCTGATGACAACAAAACGAACTGATTTCAGCGCCACCATGTGTCTTATATTCAACTTTTCTTTGGACACGCGGTTCCGATCTATGGTGGGGATTCCATTATACATATTTTTTTGATTAATCATAATTTGTTTATTCATTTAACTGTTGATGTGTGTATATCTATTTTATATGTGTGTGTAATTCAATCGATTTCAATCTATTTTACAATTTGATAATTATAGTTTGATAAATAACCATAAATACTGATAAACAAAAAATAATAAATATGTAATAAACGGAAATCTAGGTAATTTTATTCATATAAAATATATAAAAATTGGTTTTTAATGGATTAATAAATTAATTGAATTAATAATAATAAAATTCGTATGCATTTATAACAATTTTTTAAAAAATTTTTTAAAAATATAATTAAAAATATAAAATAAATCAATTTTTAATCGTATATTTAACAATAATATAACCAATAATTGTTTCCAATAATAACCAATAATTAAATAAAAATATTTTAGAAATCATTGTATTATTTCAGAATAATGATTTTTAAATTATTTATCTCAATATTTTTTAATTATTTATTTCAATATTTTTTTTTTTTTTTTTTGATATTTCAATATTATAGCTTTGAAACAAAAAATGTTAAAAATCGTGAAAATAAAAAGGAAATTTCGAAATAATAAATAATAGACATCGATTAATGTGATATAGTTACCAGTGATTTATTCGAGACGAAACTCATGTTACAATAATATTTACGCAGACTATACATATAATCTACCTTGGTAAATGCTGATTTACTGGCTACCTTTAGGTGCTGGAGGAAAAAAAAAATATATATATATAAAAGAAAGAAAACATGAGAAAACATTTTTAAATAAAAGGATCGGTGCTATATACAAAAAGTCTTCTGTCACGCTTACATATTTTATTTTCATTGATCATACTGATTAATTCTTTCTATATTTTACATGTACATTATATCTCACTTCGCTCGTTCAATGATGATACAAAAAAAAAAGTATTAACGACATTCTAAAATACATCCTAAGTAACAATATACAAAGAAATAAATTATCTACTACTAAGCACCTCTCGTATGCACCATTTATACATCTCAATTTGCATTTTACATCCACATGGACGATGCAATAAATTCTCTTCCATTTTCTTCTCCTCTTTTTCTTTTTATTTGTCATATGCAAAGTTTCTTTCGCCGTAATACAAAATTATACAATATCTTTGTTCAAATCGAACGATTCTTTGCATTCTTCTCTGTTTGACGAAGACACTATTGTCAGGATTTCAATAAATCAACAATGGTATATCATTATTAACATTAATTTTTGTGTTAAAAATTTATTAAAAATACTAACGAATTGTGCCATTCGTCTCTTCACTATGATCTACAAAATAGTTTTTTCTTCCTACAAAAATTAGAAGATATGCTCTTGTTATCCACTAATATTTGTTCACATGTGTAAACGCTAGCATAATACATACTTTAATGAGTTCGAGCTATGTTACAGAGAAACATACAGGTTTTTATTAATTGACTAGTTACAAACACGTTTCGAGACAATTTTATAACAATATCTCTTCCATGCAAACTTGATATGCACCATTCGTCATTTCTTTACGTATTAACAAAGAATAACAAGCCTTGGTAGAATTTTTTCCTCTTCGTTTTTTTTTCTCGTATTTTTCTTTTACCAAGGCACTTATCAATGGCACTGTAGTATTAACATGTACAAAATTGGACGTAAACATTTGTATATAAACTTTATTATATTTTGCTTTGGCTGCAAACATAATTCAGGTGTGCACCAAAGTCTTTAAGCTGTTACTAATGCTATTATAATTCTTTTTAAAATCTGTAGCTGATTGCTGTCAGTAGATATTATCTTATATTAAATTCTACAATTGACTATCGTGTTCTATGTCGTTATATTTACAAAAATTGACGTATATTTTACAATTACTATAAAAATTAGATTCAAGTTTTGAACCTAATCTAAAAATAAAAATAATTAGGAATCGTTAGTTAAAAATCGATTTTTAAATCGATAGTTAAATTCCAATAGTTATTTAATTGCATCAGATTTAATATCTTTTTAAAGTTTTAAATAATTAATAATAATGCGATTATAAATATAATATTTTAAGGCAATTATTTCCATTTTCATCTTTCAATGTCACAATTCTACAACATTCAGCTATAGATTTTTTAAAATTGTACATCTTCTGACGAGACTTGCCTCTGATTCAACATAGTTTCGTCCTTTTCAACATGAAAAAATTATTATAATTATAATTTTCTTTTTATATTAAAAGATATTTCACTATTTTCAAATATGCTATCGATGTAATATAGAGTAGATACGATATCTAGATCACATGAGTTACGTGACGAGGCAAATCTTACTATATAGAAGCTTAAGACTAAGATTACAGTGAACGAAGATAAATAAAAGATCACAATTGCTTGATCGAATAATATTCATATGAATTCTTATTCACTGTAATCATATTATGATACGAATTCATTTGAGAATAAAATTTTCAAAAGTTATTTTACTATTTTTATTTTAAGAATTAATCTAATATTTTTTTTTAATATTTTTTACATATATTGACATTGATTTTTCAAGAATAACTTTCAATATATTATTCAATAATAAAAAACAAATCTCGAGAATAATTTTTGAAAGTTTTAATTTCAAATTTTGCAAGATTAAAGTACAAATTCATTTGAAAATAAAAACCTCTCAAAGTTGCTCTAATATTTTTATATTCTACTATACTTTTATTTTAAGAATTGTTCTAATATTTTTTATACATATTTAATTTTCTCATTTTTAACAAATATTTATTAGGATAATTCTCGGAAGTTTATTTACTAGGATAACTTTTGAAAATTTTATTCTCAAATCGAGTTTTGCATGCTTAGAATTCACGTTAGAATTGTGAAAAATTGATATGATTCTGTTCACTATTTGAACCATGAAATCTGATAAACATGTACGAGAATCACGTGGAACAAACGCATGTTCTATTTAATATAGTAATCGATTTTGCAAGGCATAAAGATAACAGGAAAATAAATACAATATTTTCCATAAGAAAAATCAGTCTCCTCGAAGGCCGGAGTTTTCTTCCTTGATCGATATCTTCCTTTTTTCTTTCTTTTTCTTTTTCTTTTTCCTTAATTCTACAAAATACGCTAAACAAGTCAATACTGATTTATATTATTTGGCGTGTTCGCTAGATCAGTCGAATAATTTTCATTCACCAGCGTCCTTCAAAAAACTTTAAGGCTAGTCTTCTTTTTTCGTGGATTTTCGTTCGTTTTCTTTGTTACTCTTATTCTTCTTCCTTTCTTCGTGTTTCTATTTATTTCGCTTCATCGTTCGTTGTATCTTCTGAATCTTTCTTTTTTTTTCTCATGACAATTGTACAGATTCTTCGGCTAAAACCGATCGTTCGTAGGATTTTCATAATAAGTAGCGGAACTTTTCTTCACTTTCATCGTCGTCGGCTTCACTCGATTCTTGACTGGACGGCGGTGTGTCTAGTTGTGGAAGGCCAAGATCCAAATATTCCTAAAATAATAATGATTTTTTTTTAAATTTTAGTTTATTTTAAATATTATTGAAATTTGAATCGTATCTGACATTTAGAAAATTCGAATTTTTTTCAAGAAAATAAGTAGAAGTAAAAAAGAAAAATTCAATAATTTAACAATTTAAAAAAGAATTTTTTATCAAAAAGTCTTTTATCTTTTTCACAATTAATATTTCTTACCTCATTTGCAGTTATTGTCAATATCCTATCGAGATCCTCGACCAATTCTCCAAACATTGGTCGTTCGTTGGGCTGATAACTCCAACAATCCCTCATTAACATGTATCTATAATAATATAATAAGTTAATATTTTTATTCTAATAATTTTTTTATTATAATAATTTTATTGTAATATTTTTTAATAAACAAATAATATAAACATTTGGAAAGATATAATAAATTCTGAGAATTGTGCTTACATTTCGATAGAACAACATGGTGGTTTCTCCATTCGATGGCCAGTTCTTAATAATTGGAATAATTTTTCTACTGATGGTACGGATGGATAGGGAGTACCACCTAATGTCATGATCTCCCACAATAAAATTCCATACGACCATCTAAAATATTGTAACAATTTTCTTAAAATATTTATATTTTAAAAGATAACTTAAAAGATAAATAATTTCCTTAAAATATATATAATATAAATATATCTAACTAATATAACTAAATATAACTATTTAGTTATATAATATCTAACTAATATATAATTAAATATTTTAGAAAAAATAAATAATTCCACTATTTTATAAGAATTTGAGATTTTTTTTCTTCGAAATATCAATAATAAAATACATAGATATTGTGAAAAATGCTCAATATTCAGGTGGAATATTTTTTATTTATTCATACAATAAATTATTTTTCATTTTGTGGAAAATAAAATTTAAGACGTGTAATAATTTCTACGACATTTGAGTTAGTCAATATATTGATAATATATCCAATATATTTTTAAATCATTTAAAAATACTTAATATTTTTTTACATTTTTTGAGAATTTATATGTATTAATAATTTTATTCTTTAAATAATATTATCTTGTTTTTTAATAAATCAAATAATATATAATATTTATTTGTAATATTCTTTAGAAGTAATTGCATTTATATCATCATAAAATATGAATATCTAAATTTTACGTTTATTGCTATAATTTGTTTAATCTATAGAATATTAATATATTTGAAATATTATGGAATAAAAATTTGAAAAACTAATTCAACAAGCCAAAATAAATACAAAAATATTATTTAGTCCTATTAATTATAATATTTAAAAAAATCTGTCTAAAACAATTGAAGTTTGCATTAAATAAAGTGAAATAATGAAGCAATGTGATAAAGATAATATAAGTTTAATTTCACT